CAGGCTGCCCTGCACGTGCGGGGGCGAAGGCCGTGAGGGGCCCTCTGTCCGGGCAGCGGGACGCGTGGACACCATGTTCACTCTGCTGCACAGCTGGGTGTTCCCAGCAGCTCGGTTAGCACGCGAAACAGCTCAGAGGCCTGACCCTTTCCTGCCTGTGAGTTGTTTGCTTCAGAGAATGTCAGTGTCTGTGCCGCCACCTGCTCTGGGTCCTCAGATCGGGACTCACTGGCTGTGCCACCTGCCCCCCCAAAGAGGGCGTGAGCGTCGCCATGCCTGTTCCCCACACGATGTGCTCAGGCCTAACCCTGTGTCTCTGCCCACAGCTCTGCCGCCAGGAGCGCCACCTGTCCGCGGGGCAGTACCAGGGGACGCTGTTCGCCGAGCAGCCCACGATGTTCATCTCACCAGCCAGCGACCCCCCCAGAGCCAAGCTGTGGGAGCTGGTCCTCCTGTGTGGGGGTCGGGTCACCGGGGTCCCTCGCCAGGCCAGCCTCTTCATCGGGCCCTGCCAGGGGAGGAGGAAGGAGACCGTCACGTACCTGTCGGAGAAGTGGATCCTTGGTAGGAACCTGCTCGGGGTCCTGGGGGTCACACGGGAGGTCGGGGGCACCTCTGACTGCAGGCTCAGGGACAGCCGGGGTCCTGGGGGGGTTCAGGGAGGTCAGGGGCACCTCTGACTGCAGGCTCAGGGACAGCCGGGTTCTGGGGGGTTCAGGGAGGTCGGGGGCGCCTCTGAGTGCAGTTTCGCCTGGTGTTCCCTGAGAGCGCTGTCTGGGAAAGGACAGGGCTCTCCGGGGGAAAGCCTCCTGCCCACGCCCTTCCACGCGCCTGGGCCTTGGTGGACGTCTGTGTCCACGCGCCTGGGCCTTGGTGGACGTCTGTGTCCACGTGCCTGGGCCTTGGTGGACGTCTGTGTCCACGCGCCTGGGCCTTGGTGGACGTCTGTGTCCACGCGCCTGGGCCTTGGTGGACGTCTGTGTCCATGTGCCTGCCCGGCAGAGCCCTGCAATCATCCCTCACGGCTGACATGGACCTGCCTGCTTCTCACTGTCGGCCCAAGTGCCGCCCGCAGGGCAAGGAGTCCTCTGAGACCATCTACCCAAAGCTGCCCCAAATCTACAGCTCTGTCCCCTAACTCTTAGCTCCTGCCCCCCCCCCCCCCCCAGCGCCTGCTCTGCCTCTGGGAACCCCTGAGAACAGGTGCCGCTGCCCTCCAGCCGGGCTCTGGGAGCGGCTGTGTCCCCCTCAGTCCCCAGGGTCCGTCTTTCCTGACACGCAGGACACCAAGGCCACGACTCCGAGTGACTCCTTCAACCAGCAGGAGGAATGGGGATTTTCTTAGAGAGAAACCCGTCTGGGCACTTGAATGTGTATGAAAATAAGCAGGAAAACAGCGTGAAACTCCCAGCACCAGGAAGCGAGGTGTTGCTTTACCTGGATGGTGATGCTGTCGCACTTGAAGGCGTTCCCAGGAGCTTCACTGGCCGCACAGGCCTGAGTGTGTCTGTGAAATGGACGTGTGGCCGTGGCGTCCTGGGCCGGCGTGTGCTTTACGTGCCGACCGCAGCTCCGCACCCTCACCGGCGCGGGCGTCACCCACGGGGTCCCTGTTTGGTGGTCTGAGGAGCTAAGCCAGCAGCTCTAACAGCACCGGTGGCTGCTGAGCGTGGGGTGCGTGTGCCTGAGGCTGCGTCTTTCCTTGTATTTCATTTTCCGCTGATGTATGTGCTGTGGCCGCGGGGACACGGGGAGAGTGCGGCTCTGGGCCACCGCAGACCTCACAGGACGGCTCCCACTTGTATAGAAAGGGGACGGCTTCTGTGCGCCTGGCCACTGACCCACCGAATGCCCTCTCTCTCCCCAGACTCGGTGACCCAGCACGTGGTCTGCGCCTGCGAGGACTACCTGCAGCGGCAGTGACGCCGCCCGCACCTGAGGCGG